TAAATAATTAATTTGATTTTTATGTTAAAAATATAATTCAAATTATAACAAATGATATAGACTTCATTAAAAATAATAGGTGGTGATTATGCAGTTTCAATAGTACACCTAATCTAAACTAACTAGATGAATCCTACAAATAATATAAAGAGGTTTTGGTTAACTACCCACCTCATTAACCTTTTCAAGGCTTCTTGTATTTAAAGTGATTTGTGTATCTACTTTAATGGTACTATTGTTCCGTACCATTAGGAGAGAGCAATGCAGTTCAAATTGGTATTTTGATCGTAAAATCTTAGGATTTTAGGATTCTACTTAGGAATTTTTATCCTGATTTTACTATAAAATTGGTGGACCTTAAAATCGTTTAAAATCGGGATTAAAATCATTAAAATCGTTAAATCATACCAAAATCGGGATTTTGATCGTATGAGAAAAAATAGGTGGTTTGAGACAAACTAAAAGAAGCATAATTGTTTCGGCGGAAAGGGCAAAGACTAGAATCTTCTCAGTAATTTTTTTATTAAAAAGTATTTAAAAATAATAAAAATAACCAAATTAGGGTTCGGTCAATCCCTTTCTCTTTACAAACTTTCCTTTTCTCTCTCTTCTCTCTCTTCTCAGGCGATTAGGGTTTATTGATGTCCGCCTCACCGTCGGCTGCTCCGGTTGGCGAGGGCAGCTCCTGGGCGCAACTGTTTGAGGTTGTCCCGGAGAACCGGCTCCAATTCCGGCCGCCGATCAAGTTTCAAGATGGATTTCGTCTCCCGAAGGAGGTGAAGGAGAAAGGAGCGGAGCGGTTGAAGAATTCGCTCATCGGTCAGTTCGTTGGGACTAGACCTAAGATACCGGAGCTACAGACCTGGGCAAACACACTCTGGGGGCGCGATGGTATCGTCAGAGTGTCGAAGTTCGGGAGTGAACTCCTGGTGTTCCAATTTCCTTCTGCTGCTGCGCGCAATTGGGTATTCCAGTCCGGGCCTTGGCATTTCAGGGGTAATCCAATCTTCTTCCGAAAATGGAAAGCAGATATTCAACCGATTGTCCCGAAGGTGGAGACGTTGCCTATCTGGGTAAGGATCTGGGGGCTCCCCTTGGAGTATCTGTCTTCAGAAGGGTTGGAGTGGGTGACGAGTATGATAGGGAAGCCGCTCTGGATGGAACAGAAGACGAGGGTGGGAGGTCAGTTAGGATTTGCTCGGGCTTGTGTGGAGCTCTCGGCTGACTACTCCTTCCCCTCTTCCATTAGGATCTATCCTGATGAGGACCCTTCATTCGAAATCAGAATTGAATATAGCAATCTTCCGAAGGTTTGTTCCAAGTGTAGTGTCTTTGGGCACAATTGCGAGGAGGGACCTCAAAAGGTTAGGGTTCCTAAACCAAAGAAGGTGGATAATGCTGAGGTACATGGCAAAGACGATGGAGAGATCGGCTCAGTTGAGGAACTGCTCAGACAGGTGAAGGAGTCTGTAATCCAGTGTGTTATGGAAAGTCTGGCTGACGAGGTATTTGAGAAGGATTCGACTGGAGGGGTGCCAGAGCAGGTCCAAGATGTTGGGAATGTGGATTTTATTGCAGCAGAGGGTAGTCCAGAGGTGATTGCTGGGAAAATTGTCTCCCCTATACTAAATGGGGGAGGGGGGCTCGAGTTAGTTTTGCTGAGATAGTGAAGGGGTCATCAGCTGCTGCTGGGAGCCCTAACACTCCTCAGCAATTATCTGTGGGTGGTCAGTCATCTTCTTTGGAAGGGAACTCGCTACCTCAGATGACTGCTTGGGCTAATCAGACTGGTTCGCATTTTGCTATTCTGGATAAAGAGAATAAAACGCCTTTGAATGCTCCTGACAAGGCTAAAAGGATTTGGATCGAACCTCCTGAAGTGCAAGTAAACAAGAGAAAAGGAGGGAAAGGTGGGGAGAGGAAGGGGTCGTAAATGAAGATCCTCTCATGGAACACAAGAGTTTTGTTGCGGAGAAGAAATATACTGCCTTACTAAATAAAGTAAATAAAGATAGGTTAGATATTATAGCTATACTAGAACCTCGGGTGAGTAGAGTGGAAGCAAATAAACTGAAGGGTAAGAGATTTTTTGGATGGTGTCAGGAAGTCTTCTTTAATTCTGAAGGTTTGGGCAAGATCTGGCTAGTGTGGCAACCGGAGATTCAGCTAACAATCTTAGACAGTTCTGATCAGTTTGTACATGTGTTGATCGGTGGTAAGGCACCATTCTTTGCTACATTTGTTTATGCATCAAATAGTGAGTGTCAAAGGGAAGCTCTATATGATGTTGTGTCTAGATTCAAAGTAGTCAATTTTCCCTGGTTACTAGTTGGGGATTATAATGCTATTCGAGATCCCAGTGAAGGTTCTAATACTCCCCAGTTCTCTTCTAGTATGAGGGCTTTTAATGACTGGTTAAGGGACATTGAAGTTGAAGAGCATAAGTCTACAAGGTCGTGGTTTACATGGCTTAACAAGAGGAATGGTGATCCTATTCCTCGAAGATTAGACAGGGTTTTTGTTAATGTGGAGTGGTTGGATGTGATGAAACATAGTGTAGTGCAAACTCAGTCTCCGGGGGTTTCAGATCATTGTCCAGTGCTTATCCAAACTGAGTTGCCATTGAAATCTTTGCATAAGCCATTTAGATTCTTTAATTTTTTGGCTTGAGCACCCAATGTTTGCAGAGCTGCTTAATCAGGCATGGAAGGAAGGGGTCTCAGGGTCTCCTTTGATCAGGATTTACAAAAAGCTACGGATCCTGAAAGGTATGCTGAAGAAGCTTAATAGGGAGGAATACTCTGACATCAGGGGAAGAGTGAAGGACAAGGAAAGAGAGTTGGAAACAATTCAATTAGCTGCCCTTTCTAATCCCTCTCAGGGGAGCTTTGAGTCTGAAGTCAGAGTCTCTAAGGAACTTTTTGAGCTGCTTAAGGCTGAGGAAATTTTCCTTAGGCAAAAGTCGAGGGAGCTGTGGTTGAAGTTAGGAGACTCAAATTCAGGATATTTTCACAGGTCTATTAGAACCAGACTTAAGAGAAATACTATAACCTCTCTCAAAGATGCTCAGGGCAACATAGTGGAATCAGTTGAAGGCATGTGCAATGTGGCTATTGACTTTTATAAAAATCTGTTGGGAAGAGAAAACCCACATGTAGTTATTGAGTCTCTTGAGTTCTTTCAGGGTATTCTCAGGCATAAGCTCACTTCTGAGCAAGTCTCTTCTGTCTGTGTTCCTATCTCTGTTGTTGAAGTTAAAGAAGTTATGTTTGGATTTCAAGGAGACAAGAGTCCTGGCCCAGATGGATTTAATGCTAGGTTCTTTCAGGCTACTTGGGATGTTGTTGGAGCAGAAATCACTAAAGCTATTCAGTCCTGTTTTGTGACAGGGGTTCTCCCTAGAGAGGTAAATGCTACAATTCTAGCTCTGATTCCTAAAATTCAGAATCCTGATGATATGAAGTTCTTCAGGCCAATCTCTTGTTGAAATATTATTTACAAATGTATTTCTAAGATTGTGGCAAATAGGTTCAGTCCTCTTCTCCCTTTTATTATCAGTAAAAATCAGACAGCTTTTGTGAAGGGGAGGGTTATTGGTGAGAATATTCTATTAGCTCATGAGTTAGTGCATAAGTATGCTAGAAAGAATGTTTCTACTAGATCTGCACTTAAAATTGACCTTATGAAAGCATTCGATTCAATGAATTGGCAGTTTCTTTATGTGGTGTTGGAAGCTATGGGTGTTCCTTTACAGTTCAAAAGCTGGATCGGGATGTGTGTCTCTAGTCCCATGCTTAGCATTGCTTTTAATGGGGGATTGGTGGGTTATTTCCCTGCTAAGCAAGGTTTAAGGCAGGGGGATCCCCTTTTCCCATATCTATTTGCAGTAGCCATGGAGGTCTTCTCGTGTCTTTTAGATTTGGAAGCTACAAGAGGTAGATTCCCCTATCACCCTATGTGTAAGAGAATAGGCTTGACTCATTTATGCTTTGCTGATGATTTGCTAGTATTCTCTGATGGGTCTAACTATGGGATCCAGAGTGTTCAGAGGGTCCTGCGTGAGTTTCACAAGCTATCAGGTCTTCAGTCTAATCCAAGCAAGTGTGAGATTTTTTTCGGAGGATTGGAAAAGAGCGAGATGGAAGAAAGAGCTAATAGATATGGGTATCAGCTTGGGGGGTTCCCTGTTAGATATCTCGGGGTTCCTCTTGTGGCTGGTAAGTTGACAATAAATGTCTGCAAGCCACTTATAGATAAAATCACTAAAAGGGTGCAGGGTTGGAAGGCAAAGTCCCTGAGCTATGCAGGTAGAGTTGAACTAGTCGGGTCGGTTCTTTATAGCATGACACAATACTGGATAAGTGTGTTTATGCTTCCCAAAGCTGTTGTTAAGGAGGTTGAGAGAATCTGTAGCAATTTTCTCTAGTCAGTGGGGCCTGGTCTCAAACTTAGAGCTAAGATGGCATGGAAGTACTTGGCAATTCCAAAGAAAGAGGGAGGGCAGGGCCTGAGGGAGCTGGTTTCCTGGAACTATGCTTGTGTTTACAGGCAAATATGGGCGGTTATGATGCATCAAGGATCACTGTGGGTTGCTTGGATCAAGGCCTATAAACTGAAAGGAAGGGATTTCTGGCATGTCAATATAAGTGGCTCATGGAACTGGGGGAAGTTGTTGAGAATCAGAAACAAACTTCCTAATCTGTTTTGTTGGAAGGAGGGAGTGTTGCACTGGGATGATAAACCAATGAAGAGATACTCCATCAAGATGATTTGGGAGTCTGTTAGAGCAAGACATAGCAGAGTAGGCTGGTACAAGCTCCTTTGGAAAGGGCTTTCTATCCCGAGGAATAGATTTCTTGTGTGGCTTGTAATTCACAATAAAATTCAAACTAAAGAAAAGATGAAGAAATGGGGATTTGTAGGTTCTGATCACTGCTATTTATGTGATCAGGCAGGAGAGACAAGGGACCACTTGTTCTCTGTCCACCCTTACTACACAGATGTTCATCAGCAGCTACTGGGGGGGTCTTCTCTCTTTCATCCCTCAGAGCTGGGAGGAGAACCTTAGCTGGGCTACAAGAAAGTTTGGTAATAAATCTGTGGTTGCAATGAATGGCAGATTGATTTGGCAGGCAATGGTGAGCCACGTGTGGAGAGAGCGATGCATGAGGGCTTTTGGTGATCAGAAGCGGTCTTCGGAGGATTTGATTCGGATTATTAAGAGCGAAGTTTGTGTTTTGGTGCAGGATCCTACAGAATTGGAGACTTTCTGGTCTGCTGGTTCTGGTCCTTCAGATCTCTTATCCCCCTGAGTTTATAGTTTCTTAGAGATAGAGGGCTGGTTTTGTTTGGTTTGACTGTTTTATAGGTAAAGAGTTTTGGCTTGTTTCCTATGTCTGTTTCCATTTCCCCTAGCTGGCAAGGGTGTTGCCAGCACCGCTTTTGATGGAATGAAGTAAATCGATTCATCAAAAAAAAATCCCTTTCTCTTCGCCCCATTTAACTTATGGGTAAAACAATTGTCCTAATATTGGATGTACGTAAAAATTAACATCATTATTAACTAATTAATTTATTAATGAATATATTTGTACCAAGCCACTAGCATTTCTTATTTTATTGAAGTTCAAATATTTTTAGTTTTAAATCGTACTTAGACGATGTTGGAATATTACTTTGAGTTAAACTACATAGACACAACATGAAAAGCAAGAGACAAACCCTTTGAGCTTTATTCCTTCCTCATGAATTATTTTGAGTAACGCATTAAATAAAAATTAAAATAGTGATTTTGGAACATTAATATTGAGAATTATCTTTTGTAAAAAAATATTGAGAATTATCATTTTAAATGTTACGTGTATTTGTGTTATTAATGATTTACCTTATTAATATTATTATAGATTATGTTCTATGTGATAATTAAATTCTACGATTTTACGATTCCGATTTTACCCCAGTTTTTTATTTTAGGTAAAATCCCAATTTTGAGTGCTTTGGGGGAGAGCACTCGGGAAAAATATACTGAACTTCTATTTAACGCCCTAAGTTTTTAAATAAATCGCCCTAAATTATATTAACGGACGATTTTGCCCCCAATTAAAAACATCAATCTCGTAATCGCCCTAGTCCCTAAACTGACAAGCCCCCGCCTCCCTCTGCTCATGCTCGCCTCCCCGTGCGCCGGCGCCGCCGTCTCCCTCTGCTCCTGCTCCCCTCCCCACGATCGGCGCCGCAGCCCTCTGCTTCCTTCGTCTGGCCAGCCAGACGACCGTCGCCGCTCTACTTCGCCCGCTGCTTCTTCTCTGGTTAGAGACGTGGTTTCGACCTGTTTCCAGCTCGTCGACGACGGGTTTTCAACCCGCCTCGTTGCCGAATCGAGCAGGTGGGGATGACGTCCATAGCCGGGGGAGCAGTGGTGGAGCACGTCCGGACACGCCCTAGTCGAGTTTCTGCCTGGCTACGATCTGAATCAGGTTGCCGCCGACGAGAAAGACTGGGCATGTGTACATCGTTCTCCTTCCCCGTTAAGCTCAGTAGCACCAACGGCGGCGGGGAACATCGTCGGCAATGTAAAGGGTTTGGGGTTGGCGGTGATTTGTTGATTTGGGGATTTAGGTTAGAATTGTTCTACGGGCAAAGGTGTCAGTTTTTCAAATTTAGGGCAAATTTTTTAAATATTTAGGGCTGTAAATATTAACTCCCAAAATATAAACTTCCTCGGGAATGAAAAAAGTGATCTATTTTCATTTGATATTTTGGCTTAAATTCTTTGATTCCTGGATACTCAATCAAATCTTCTTTTGTAAACTCTTCCCTTCCTTTTATTTAGCATTATCCCCCTAGATCCAATCAATCTAAATGTATAAATTCAATAGTCTGAATCATTGCATATAGATAGAAGATTTTGGCTGATCTAGGTTTATGTAATTTATTATTTATTAATATTTTATTTGGTCAATCGTTGAATTGAATAAAACCAACTAAAATAAGATCTTCTATAAAAAATTTAAACATATCCCTTAGAATTCTTATTAGATCCTGACCTCTAAATTTTAATTAAATGAACAAACTAATCAATACAATCTAAAAATAATTTTCAACAAAATGGAGTATAAATTAGCGAAACAAATCTTAGGAAAAAGATCTTTTAGATCTCTTTCCCTTTCTTTCATGTTTCTGTTAAAAAAATATTATTAGTTAAATTAAAACCTATGAGGTATGGTTCATTAGAAAGTAATAATAGGAGTGATTATGCATGTTGAATTATACACCTAACCTACATTACCTAGATGGGTATAGTAAAATATAGGTTGTCAACCTGCGGGTCGACCCCCGGTTGACCCGAATAGACCCTGATCTGGTGCGGAAAGCGGGTGTCATACACACGCGGGTTGACCTACAGCAAGGTTTCTGTGTAAGAGGTCACACGACGTGGTTTTTCCCTTTAGTTACTGAATTTCACCTTTTTCCGATTTTTTTCTTCGTATATAACCCTATCTTTGGATTTGTAAGTTGAACATTTGAATATTGATGTTATATGACTATATTTGTATTTTCACTATATGTTGGATCCAAGTACGAATTGTTGTTTTGGTGCAATGTTATATGTCATTACCCATATTTAAGATGAGATTTGATATAATTTATACCTACTTGAACAATAAAATGTCTTTTTTAATATATCTCGACTAAACCAGACTAAAGGATAAGACCATTAACCTTCAACATATTTACTCGATCGAGCCAATGTAATAAACTGGGTTGACAAAAGAATAAATACAACTGCTAATTTTGATATGTAAATGTAATATAGCAATAAAAATGATGACCTTTTTAGTTGGTGTTCGGATTATTTTCACTAGTTAATTAGTTGGCTGTTTTAAACCCACCAAAACACCAATACCCCGTAATAAATAAATAAATAATACCAATACCCCAAAAGACCAAACAACCCCTCCTTACTAAGCGCAGGAGCCTTGAAAAGGTTAATGAGGATGGTGCTTAACCATAACCTCTTTATATTATCGGTAGGATTTCAATGATGTTGCTTCTTCCCATCTTAGAAATAATGATTTATAATAGTATATAAACCATATATATATATATATATATATATATATATATATATATATATATATGATAGCTACTTCGATGCACTCACTTCCAACTCTAAAAGCGTTCATAATACTTCAAATTTTGAACTTTAATTAGTACTCTCAATATAATATGATGATATGACATAGAATCATAACAAATCAATCCATTATCATAACCCCTTAACATTCAATTTTGAATCCCAACCCAAAATCTCAAATTGTAAACCTAAACCCTAACCCTAAATCTCTAAATCCTAAATCCTTCGAATTAAAGTAAATTTTGAATGATTTTTTTTCCCAAATTCATGTGCTTCTTGTTCATAATATCATAAGCAACAATTGATACCGTTTTGACATGAATCGCATGGTCAGAATGACAATTATGAGGTGGATGCACCGAATACGGCACTATATATATATACATAACAATTGATACCGTTTTGACATGAATCGCATGGTCAGAATGACAATTATGAGGTGGGTGCACCGAATACGGCACTATATATATATATTGTTTGTAACTTGTTATTGTATAACTCTAAATAGCTATGCCATCTACACTATACGAGAGGCCCATATATCTATCTATCTATCTATCTATCTATCTATAGTTGGGTATTGTATTGTAACTTCCACCCCATTCAAATTTTCCTGCAACGTTCACTCATATTTCTCCTTTCTCTCTCCTTTTTTGGAATTCTCTGAAACCTTCTTCGATCATCGCGATGGCCGCCGTCGCCAACGGAGCCACACATGGCACCGTTGGTGGCGGTAGGTCTTGGGCTTCCTTGTTTCCTGTATCGGCAGAGGTTAAGTTGGATTTCTATGAGCTTGAGTTTGTCAACGGGTCTCTTCAGATTCCCAAATCGGTGATTGAGGAGGGTACGAAGAAATGGGAGCATAGCCTTGTAGGTCAGTTCCTGGTCGCTCCGCCTTCGCTTTCGGCTCTGAGATTCTGGGCTAACTGGATTTGGAGTCGGGATGGGGAGGTTAAGGTTTCGCTCCTTTGTGACAAGCTGGTCCTCTTTCAATTTCCGTCGGAGGCGACCTGTCGGTGGGTGTTTGAAGGGGGTCGTGGCACTATCGTGAGAAGATCATTTGTCTTCGGCGCTGGGTCCCTAGGATTCGAGTGCTGGAGATCGACAATTCAGTTGTTCCGGTTTGGGTCAAGCTATCTGGGTTACCTGCTAAATTGGCGATGAGGGAAGGATTGGGTCGAATTGCAAGTTCTATTGGTAAGCCTCTCTGTATGGATCATTCTACTGCACATAGGGAGAGGGTGGGTACTGTTCGTGTATGTGTGGAAGTTAGTGCTGCTAAACCTAGAATTGACAAAATCAGTATTGCCCCGGACGACATGTCTGAATTTATCATTGGTATTGAGTACTGTGGCCTGCCCCGCTGTTGTGCTGCCTGTGGAATGTTTGGACATGACTGCTCTCTTCCTCCTGCTGGGGTTCCCACTAAACGGGTCTGGCGTCGTAAGCAAGCTAATATACTTGAATTGGGATAGTCTGAGGTAGCTGTTACAGAGAATCTAATGACAGAACAAGTGGTGCAGGATGCTCCTGAGAAGGGAATTGCACAGGTTTCAGGAGAAGGGGTTGCTGTTGATAAAGGCAAACAAGTAATGGAAGACTCTACCCCCGCGTTACCCCAAGTGCTTTGCCCTCTCAAGAAGAATTCAACAAGGTGATTAATGGTGCTAAGCCGAGGTCTAATTTGAAACTGCCCACTCCTGTGTTGCCTTCGAACGCATTTGAATTGTTATGTGGCCAAAGAGATATTGTATTACAGGCCCCTCCAAGAAAAGGGGGTAGAGATGGGCTTCGCAGTAAAGGGGGAACCACTAAGATGGTTGCTTCTCGTAAATGACACTGCTTATCTGGAACACAAGGGGCTTTAATGGCCCCTTGAAGCACAGTGCAGTGCTTCATTATCTTAGGGTACATAGAGTTTCTATTTTTTCTTTACTTGAAACTAGAGTGCAAAACAAAAAGAGGATTGAGGAGATACAAGGGAAGTTTGCTGATTATCAATTTGTGGATAATTACTCAAAGCACAAGTTGGGAAGGATCTGGATTGCGTCGAATGATGATGTTAATTTGCGAGTATTAGCTGAGGAAGAGAACTTTATGCATATGGTGGTTTCAATGAAGCAGGGGACTCAGTTTTTCCTGACAGTATTTTATGGTTCCAATGATGATAAGAAT